TTTGAAAAAATTTCTTACTTTAGTGGATAGTTTTTTCCCTGTTTCAGTCGGTGTTTTAGTTGCAGTTGTTGGTTCAACATTATCTGCTTCTAAAAAAATAAAAATAATACGCTTAATTAGAATAATTAAAAAGCAAAGACATACGTTTTGCATTTGTTTGTGTCTTTTTTCTTCGATCATCATAAAGAACTCGTTTTTTAACAGATTGTTCTCCATTATTTGCTGTAGTTTGTGCTGTATTGCGTGCTGGTACTTGAATTCCAGCTGCTTCCAATTGAATACGAGCACGTTCACGTTTTTCTCTTTGTTCTTTTGTTAAATAAGAGCCTTCTTCTTTTTTTCGTTGTATACGTTCTTTTTCTTTTTGTTTCTTTTTTTCACGACGTTCTTTTTCTAAACGTATTTTGTCTTCATGTTGTCTTTGAAGTTCTTCGTCTAAACGTAATTTTTCTTCTTCATCTTTAAGAGCTTTCAATTTAGCTTCTTCGTGTTTTTTTTGAAATTCTTTCATAAGACTTAACTGAAAACAAAGAAAATTATATTTTTTTTTAATTACGAAAAATCATGATTTCATTTCTGTTAATGAACATACAGTTTTAGCATCAACACCACCTTTGCCTTTCTTTTCAGCTGCTGCTTTCTTTTTACTTTTTGATGATGTCTTCTTCTCATCAGTACTACCAGTAGCAGCTGCTGGTTCATCTAGAAAGAATTTTTAAAAAAATAGAAAATTGATGAAAAACAGAGATTTAATTTTACCTTCTTGAATTTCAGATTGTATTGTTGTTGATACATTTTCATTTTGATTTGTTGGCACTTCTTTAAGATCTTCAGTTTCCTAGAAGAGATGAATAGTAATTATGAATATATCGATCAGTGTTTTATCCAGATTTTGTCGTTCGAACGAGCCAACTCGATCTTCTGAGCGACGTCGCCCTCTCAATCCTCATACTGGATAAAAACATTGATGTCTATATGATAAAAGTAACTTACATTTGCTTTTATTTCTTTTGTTACTTCTAAAAAGGAGAATTTATTTGTGATAATTAATCAATTAAATTTTCACCTTTATTTTCGTCTTTTTTCTTTTTTTTCTTTTCTTTTTTAGCTTCTTTTCGTCGATCTTTTTCATCAAATTTTTCATCAATTTCCTTGTAGAAAACAAATAATTTAATAAAAGAAAATTTCTTATTCGAAAATAAAATTTACTTTTAAAATATCTTCTAAATCTTGTCCTTCACCTTCTTTAAAATTTCCTTCATCAATATTTGATGTTGTTGTTGTTACTTGTTTATTTTTTTTATTTCCACTTTTTTTTGTTGATATATTTGTTGATTCAATAGCAGCTAATAATGAATCAATTTCTTCATCTTTTTTATTTTTTGATGATTGAGTTTTCTTTTTAGTTGTTGATTTCTTTTTTGAAGAAGTTGATGTTGATGTTGGTTTAACAGTTGTTGTATCTTCGTCATTATCGTCATTGTCACCAGCGTCATTTTCATCATCAGAAACTAGCAAAGCAAATTTAGCTTGAAATGAAGTGTTTGATGGAATATTTCCAACATCATCGTCATCTTCTTCAATGTCTTGAGTTATATTTGTTTTTCTAGATAAAACAATAATTTTAAACTATTAATTAATAAAATGAAATTTTTGTTTTACTTTGATATTGGTGTTTTTTTGCTTTTGTTTGCCATTTGTATTCAGCATTCGGATGTATATCAATCTGAATTAGAAAAAACAGAATTAATAAAAAAACAATTGCGCAAACACGTCTGTTAAAATTGAAAATTTCGTAATGTGGGAAGTTAGATTTAAATTATATGACGTCAGGATATAATACGTAACTAGTAAAAATCAAAGCGCACAAAGGTTAACTACAATAGAAATTTTATTTATTGCCCAACAAATACCAAATAGGTTTTCATTCGATATGATGCAATGTTACTCTAACCAAACCTAAAGGAGTATTTTCTATATGAAAAGATGGCGCTAGATTAAATGAAAAAAATTATTTTCTATATACTCAAGTTTTCATGCTCTAAGCATTGCGAAATTTTTATATAGTAGTATCAGAAAGAATTTGTTGCAAGAGAATTGAGTACGACAGACCTGACTTGACTAACTCAAAGCATTTTGTGAAACACGATCCAAAACTAGTGTTGAAGTATATTGAGCAGCAAGGTAAACCTCTCCCACTCTTACAGATCCTGACAGACACTTCGGCATGCTATTGGCAAAGGCTTAATTTTTAAATAACTAAATAGTATCTAGTAAATGACTAATGAATAATTAATTCATAACAAAGTAATATCGAATTAATAACTCATTTATATCTCATTAAGAACCCATTAATAAGTAATTAATGAAAGAAGTGTTGAAGAATATAGCGACAAAAGTGAATCACTTCCCTTTCACCCCACAAACTATGACAGGTAGAAATAATGGGCTAAGTATCCTATAGCCCCGTATAGCTTGGCAAGTATTTCGATAGTTTAGTTTATCTAATCATCAAGAATAATACTGCTAACATGTGTAGGATGCTCCATAAAAAGTAGAATAGATCATTCGTTTCTAACATCTTAATCCTGCAGAAATTACGCTGAAAGGTTTTCTCTCATTTGCTTGACATGCAGAGAGCTCAAGACATGTCCATATGACACGATTTTTCTTTCCGTAGACAGTTGCTTGAGTATGTGCATGCATTGTAAATAGGTTTTGAGCAACTCATGTGCAGACTTCATGAAAACTATATGACTGGGTATACTTGAAACGATCAATTGAAATAAAATAACCACATAATTTTTGTTCAAGATGAAACAATACTTCTTGCCTTTAAGGGATGTCTGAATGTAATTACCCATGTAGATTTCCTTTTCTTTTATTCTGCTTGCTACAGTTTTTGCTATTTTTAATATGATTTTCTATTAAGAATTGAATCATTTTAAAAGTACAAGTGAAAATACAGACCGACAAGTTTCAAAAGCTACCAGAACTTTCAAGTGACAGATCCGAGCTTTGAATATCACAAAGCTTTACTTTTTTCGTTTTCATTTTTGTTGAACAGGTACTTTTCGTGCATTGTCTAAGATACTGAATCAATTGTTTCTCATTGTAGTGTGAATTTCACTATGAAATTTAGTGCTAAATTAAGAAACAGTTGATCGATAGTAAATTCAGAATTTATTCTACTTCAACAGATGATTTAACTTTAATCCATAAACCCTATAATATCTCAATTTAATCATCAATGACAGAATCATAGATGATTATAAGGATATTGAAGACATCCTTGTTTCTCTTTCCAGAACCGTGTCAGACTTATAGAGTTCCATATTAGGTAGTAGATTCAAGAGACGGTCCGCGAGACTAGTTGTCTGTGAAAAGAGCCAAGGTATACAAGTGTTACATCCCTCGACAATTGGTCAAGAACTCACGATTTTTGGATTCTCTTAGCATTTTGAAATTTTTCTCTGGATCGAAACATTCGTTCGAGTTCGAAAACGTCAAAAACAAATACAGAAACGTTTTCTTCACAAAATTGGGTAATCCAGTATGTCCTACAATACCATTCATTAAGTGATAATCACAATATATGGGGAACAATGACTATTGGCTAAAAAGAAGATTTTCTAGTATTTAGACTCTAGCCACGCAGGATCATACTGTCAGAAATTTATTTATATATATATTTTTTTAAAAGTTCTTGAAAGTCTGCAACATTAAAGGTATAACTCAAAAAAACCACATTCAAGACAAGAAAAGCTTTCGCTAAAATGTGTTCTTTTTTGCTCAGAAGTGATAGCATGCTACTCGGAAAACCATATTTAAGAAGGAAAAGCATTTTTCGAAAAAAGAACTTTTTGACGAAATATGCCGGAAGGCCTCTTATGTCATATTTTTTTCGGGAAAATTCTTTCTGAAAAATATTTTGAGATTTATATTATTTGATGCAGTTTGATATATTGATTCCGAATATCTCTTTAATTTTCCTTCAAAGTGCAATTTGGATGCCAAAAATCGAATTTTCAATCAAAAATCTCTAAAACATTCTAGAATATATTTCACGAGTTGACGCTACTACTACCATTAGGATATATATGTAGGAGTCTCTGGTAAAAGTTTCAGCTCGATCGGACATTAGCCCTTCGTAGTGTTTGCAAAACTCGTAGCGGCAGGCTTTCGAGCTGAAATCTGCGTTGAAAATGGTGCAAAAGTTTCTTTGAAAACTAAAACTATTGTAAATATATGGTTTGATGCAGCTTAAAGAGTTATTCCGAATATCACCTTAGTTGTCCTTGAAAGCGTAATATGAATGTTTAAAAGCAAATTTCCGGCCAGAGATCTCGAGTTTTTGGGACTCATTAAAAATAGCCTAGCAAATGTTTCATAGGTTGACACTACTAGAATTATTCGGATACATATGTAAATATATCTGGCCAAAATTTGAGGTCGATCAGACATTATCTCTATGTTGTCTCTAGAATATGCGAAACGGTAGGTTTATGGCCTAGAAATTTTGTTTTCTACTCTATTTTAAATTGGATTACGATCATTTTTTTAAACATAAAGCTCACAGTTACGCAAGGTTTTTGAGATATTCTTTGTTTGTGGATTATTGTGTTATATTGCTGAGCGGCTTGACTTCCTTTATTTATGCTGGTTTGTAGGCCAACGTCTTGTGAAGTTCTTTTCTATGGCCCTATAAAACTTTGAGAACTGCTATTTTAGAAAGTGATAGATCACATATACGTGTGTATACAAAAAGAGTTAGATTCTGTAAAAGAATATTTTCGCATATGTCCGTCTGGCTCTTCACTTTGCATTCCCTACTCTCTTTTCGTTCATTTTTCCTTTGATCAATGAAGAAATGATTTCATTAAAATCTGTCTCAAGTGTACAAACTTTGCTTTTTTTTTATCAGTTTTTCTTATTATATTTTTTTAAAATAAAGTAAAAAAGAAATTTTATTGATAAAAATGATCAGCATTAAAATCATCTTAGACAACATTTGATTTTTCAATTGCTTTTACACGTTCAATAGAAACATTAAAAAATCTTTTTTTCTTTCTTTCGTGGTGAATTCGCTCTCCATTGGTTGTTGCTAATTCAGCAACTCCTATCTTATCTTCTCTGGATCGTTCTTTTGGTCTTTCAATAATTTTTTCGATCATGGCATATTGTGGTTTTTGTTCAATGAAACGATTTGGATATTGTTCTTCATTATAATCAAGATTATTTTCTGGCAGTCGAATAATCTTTATCAGTGCATTATTGATCACATTATTTTGTCGTTGTGACATTGTCTGATTGATTTCATTTGGTAATGTTTGTATATAGCGATTAACCATTTTTGGTTTTTCTAATGGACGAGAAGACAAGCCTCCATATGCATTCATTGCTGGCCAAACTCCACGCTGAAAATTTCTTGGTCGTAAAGGAGCAAATGTTTTTTCAGTATTTGTTTGTTTATCTTCAACTTGAATAACATCTTTATTTGTTGATAAAGGTGGAATATTTTGAATCATTTCATATGATAGTGATGATGTGCCATTTGATCGGGCATGACATTTGCTCTTCCAGAAAACGTCTTCTTGATTGTATTCTGGTGTTGCTAAACTCTTTGTATTGCTGTTAGTAGCATTACGATCATTTTTGAAGTAACAAACAAGTACACATAATATTAGGAGTATTGTGATTAACATTGCAGAACAAACAGCTATACCTAACATTTCCCATTGTGAATTTGAATTTGAATCTAAATTAAATAACTATAGAAACTTGAACAAAAGAGATTTATGGATTTACTTTGTAGGTATAAAAGAGTTGAAGCAATAAGACCACCTATTGATGCACAGGTGACAACTATTATGATTCCAAATAGAATTCCGCCAGTTAAACGTGTGAGCCTTAAACATAATGGCTGCCAACAACATGAAGTCTAAAAAAATAAATATTTAGATTCAATCAAAAAAAAATGTTAATACTCTAACTGATTTCTCATTTTTTTCAAGATCTTCATCAGGATGAACATTTTCTAAAAAATAATTCAATTTCAATATTTATGGAAAAGTAAAAATTCCAATCAACTTTACCCATATACTTATTTCGTGAATCATACAATTGATTTGAATTATAAGAATATATTGAATCCATTGTCGATTGTTTTATTGATGATAGAGTTTGAAAAGCTTTGAAGAAAAAAACAAATTCAATTACTAAACTCGAACTTAAATAACGTACAATTACTTAATTGAGAATATGTATTATAATATGATTATTGTGATGGAATTCGATTGTTTTTAAATGAATTACTATAGCCTAGCAAATGATCTTTAAAGGGTTTTGGTAGAAATGGTTTTCCAGGACTAACTTTAATTGGAATATATTCTTGTTAATACGACGTTGGTAGTAATGACATCATTTGTGAAGGGATTTGATATTCCTATGACATGTATTATCGATAAGATTTTGCTGAAACGAGACGAATTACAAATTAATTCAATACATTTCACATATATTATATGCGAGATTCTCATAAAAATCCTTGTACATTAGAATTCAGAAATTTTAACATTGTATTCATCATCAATGCATATTTCTTTATGAATGGAATATATCGTCTGCGATTGTTGCTTTCGTCGATTCAATTGAAAAAGAAAACTGACAAGTGATTGCTTTTTTTTTTTGGCGTCGTCTCATAACAAATGCCCAACTGGAATGTCTGCACTGCACAAAGCTTTGTTTTTTCGATTGATAAAACAATCGATTTTTTTCCTTTTTCAATGAAATAAAAAAAATCTTTATGTAAATTCATTTTTACAGAAGATCGATGTTAATTACGTATGTATCAAATCCAGTAGGATCAATTGTAATTAATCACTTAGATATTTGATAATCTCAACATTAGTTATTGTTCTATCGATTTCTGCTTTAGCATGAGGAAAAATAAAAAGTCAAGTGTTTAATTATGGCATTATAAGTGTCCATAAGAAAAAATTAGAAAAAAAATGAAATAAAATCAGCGAATTGGAAAAAACAATATCATAGAATAAGAAAAATATTTTGTTAACAAAACAAAACTGTAACCAGGTCTTTCAGAGTGACTTGAATAATAGAATACATTCACACAACACTATGACTCGACTTTGTATATTAATCATAATAGTAGTGAAAAAAAAATGAAATCTTTGTATTGAAAGTTTATTTAATTATTATTTTTTCAGTTTTGACAACAACGGATAGGTAATTGCATACATCTATTTTAGGATCGAATGTTGTATCTGGTACACATTTAAGAATTAAAAAAACACCTGTTTGATCATATTGAGTAAACTGTAATGCAACAAGGATAATAAGGAATGTAATATCGATTATAGATGCTGTAAGGGTTTTGGATTAAAATTCAGAACAAAAACACATTGACATTTATGTGTTGTTGATCTCTAATCGATGACCTCGATGAGCAACAATGAAAAGGACGAAAAAAAAAAAAGCAGCATATGAAATAAAGTTTTCATGAATATTTGATATATTCAATTAATTAGAAATGCAAAATTTCTAGGCGATACGGTAATAATTCTGGCAGACAACCATGAGTATAAAATGCTGAATAATAATATTTAGAATTTCTACTAAATTCAAATTGTTGACGTGGGTTAAGTTATTTTTTGAATCAGCTTGTTTTTGTTTCACTTTAAAAAATGCACTTATCATTTTCATTGCACTAGCTATCGATTTTAGCTTACCCAACCTTGTACTTATTTCATTTCATTGGTTTTTCTTTATCATCGGAAAGAAAAATGTCATTTGCTAGAACTAATAAAACATGTGATCGAAATTAGGAGATAATATTGCACGCATTTCTAAATGAATATTGAACATTCGTAGATGTTGTATAGGTGAAACGGGATGCCTACACTTCTGATAAAATTTTGCAATATTAACGAAGTATACGGAAGAATAAATATACCTAGGTTAATGATTCTGTCTCCTGAAACAAGCAGATTTGGGTGTGAATGTCAGTAGTATGTGCATTTTCTTTCAACCGACACTCACACCCACAGTTACAATTCTTATTGTTTGTCAAGTCAAAAGACTACTCTCTGTTGCTCTCATGTTGCTCCTATTACGTCGTTATTGAGTAGTATGCACATGCTTATGTTCATCTTCAGTCTGATAAAAAGAAAACCGAATGATATATCCTGACTGTATATATTTAGCTGTGATCGAAAGTGTATCCGAGATCAAAATAGATTCTTACTACCATTCTCGTCACTGGTCTTTCAGGCAAGTTATTTGTTGCATATTTGTTGCATTATGATTCCTTATGATAATTAGTAAACCAATTTGATGATGTTTAACATAACGATCATCAACTTTTCTCTTTAACTGAGAATCCATTTTCATCTCTTGAAACGAAGTATTAAGCAATTACAGTATCAACTATTTAACTTACAAATGTTTCGATTCAATAAGACAGAAAAAAGTCGACTTGACAGAATAAACCAAGGATATTAATAGTGAAGATTCATCACTTCGTTGAAGTTAGCTACAAGGATCTGAGATACGTTTTGGTGTCACATGAATTTTTCTTTTTTTTCGAACTCAGAATTCGATTCTATTGAATAATAGTAAAATATAAAAAGTTTGTTTCTTGTTCGATTCGTAGATTTCTGAGGTCTAAAGATCCTTCTGATTATGAAATTGTAAAAAGCTATGTGTGACTGATATCATGTTCACTATTTCTTTTCGAATTTTGCTAGGCTACTGTGTGATCTATCGCTATCTACTGCGTAGCAAAAGTTTAATACAAATACCACCACGTTCTATTGCTAATGAAATCCATGGACAAGAACAATTCTTGTTAGGATGTGAACGGATCTCAGCTACCATGACATGTTTCGATCCTACTATTGATCTCATCAGGTAGCTCATGTCTTCTGATGCGATTCAATTCGTTCGAAAAAAAGAACAATTCAAGACAAATTGACACTGTTCTACTAAAGTAGACTTATTGCAAAAGCAGACCAACCTATTTCTACAAGGAAAGACACACTGAATCTGATATTCTCAACTTTTGCTTTTCGTTAATTGATTAAATCCACATAATTGAAAGTATACACAATGTGATGAATTAAAAACAAACAATAAGTATAAATGCAGAGTTTATTCACCGATGCGTTTCGTACTGTATTAAAGGAAAAAAACATTCTTCAGAGCTCTACATTACATTGAGTAAATCTTGAGAAAAAAATTAAAAAGAACAATATAAATTCAAAAATCCAGAATCGGAAGAAAGAAAATGAAAATGTGGAAAAGACATAATGAAAAAAGGGACAAAAATATGGAGATTAAATCTGATTTATAAAAGGAAATAAGTTTGATCTGGAAACATCATGAAAATTGGAAACGTAAATCATTCAAAGTTACTATTTATGGGATTAACACTTTGATACAATAACGTAGCTGTTAATGTCACACGTTCGCGTCGAATGATAACACTTGGATGATTACAATTATCACTAAATTCCAGGAAGAAAACCACGTACTCCTGTATTCCAGAGTACATGAAGTACAATGAGAGTACACGTAGTACAATTAGAGTACAAGAGTACAGTGGGAGTGGAGTTGAAGTTGTGGAATTTAGTAAGAGAACTGTAGAAATACCGAAATGCAATCGGAGTATGTGAAGCACGAAAGCACATCGTTTTTCTCTTGGATTTATTTTCATGTTTCACTTCGCTATAAAACTGTACCCCGGTTGTACTTCCTGTACTTCTGAAGCTCATGAAGTCTATAAAATACAGTTGAAGCGCATGAAGAACAGGAATGCGTGGTTTCTCCCTTACAAGGAACTAATTTTAGGAATTCAAGATAAATCTGTAAATCAGACATGTACTTATATTAATAGCTTTATGATTTGTTCGGGAAAGATTTATGAAAAAAATTATCAGTCTTTTCTGAGGAGAATCTAACAAACGGCAAAACCTGAAAAAAAGCATACTGTAATCATTGTATTTTGTTTCTTGTACGCCTTTCTCTCTGCGTCATTTTTTCTAGGTTCATTCTCTTCGCCCTTTTCTTACATAGTTTTTCGTACGTCCTATTCTATAATTTGAGTTAATACGCTGAAATCTATTGTACATGTAAAACTTGAATTTTGGATGCAATCACCTAACAATAAAAACACATTGCCCACGTAACTGACCTTTCATATATACATCGTAGTATGTAGGCGCGAGGCGCGTCCCGAACAACCACGACACAACTCTTCTTTGTGTACACGATAACGTCTTTTTCTTTTTTCTTCGATAAACATGAAAAAAATGCAAAGAAAAGGGAGTATAGGATGCATCTCAGTTTCCAACATCTCCTGAATTTCTTCAATTCCTTGATCTAGATAATGGTCACAATAAGTTGATTCACGAAACATGGACATATCTTGAATTCTTTCATTTTTATTTGAATTGTGAATTCGTGATTCGTGGAGTATCTCAGTTGAGTTGATTTGTGACTTGTTCAAGTCCAGCTAAAAATAATAATATCTTAACTTTTCAATTTTCTTTTAATAATCAGGTATTTTTTTGTGAAGAGAAATGAGGTATGAAAACAAATAAAAACAACTGATGGAGATGACATCTTGCCGTCTGAAGGAATTGAATTGACTTGACTTGCCTAACTCTGTGTTGCAGATAATAGTTAAAATACTATTCATCCAAATTTTATTAATTCCATTGAAATTATTGCTTCTCAAGNTAAATGATAACTTTCCATTATAAATAAAACAGATAAACATAAAAATAGATATTATTTATACAGTTTCAACTAATATCCATAGTGAGTGAAAGCCGTTGTGTTGAACATACAAACAAGTCGAACAGAAGTTTTGATAATATAAATAATCATCTGTATGATTTATTTTTAAAAGCATTGCTACAAACGACAAAGATGCTATTTTTTTTTCTTTGTTCAATTATGAAACATCTGTAATTGAATATTTTGGATTGGATTTTTGTAACATCAACTAGTTAAAAAAGAAATTGAATTTATCAAATTATGATTTTCATATCAGAATAAAAAGAAACACATCTTATTATCTTTTGTAAAGTGAATATAAAAAATGTGTTAATTTTCATCTTGTATATCTGACAATATTTATTAATGACAAAAAAAAATAAATCAATCAATCAAATAATCTATTCAAGAATTATCCCCAAATTTTCGATGACAAATGGATACACCATGTTCATCATATTCTCGTTTAGTTACACAATAATTTGCATAGTCAGATGAATTTGTTAATGTAACTCCAGCATTTAATGCATATGTTATTGGACTAAAAAAAACAAGAGTAAAGCGACATATATGTATATAAACAGGAAGTATTTATTTTACTTTTCTGGCAGTGTTATTCGAATTGGATAATCATCTTTAATCATAGAACGTAATTCATTTTCTCTAAAATAAGACGAATTTTAATCATAATATAATTATTAAAAAAAAGAATATTTAACTTACAAACGTTCTTTAAAATTCGGAAATAAACAATTTCCACCGGTTAATAAAATATTATTATATATACTTGGTCGAATATCTAAATTTAAGAAAATTCTTTATTAATAAATAAAAAAGATATTTTCTTTAATAGGCATGCGCCAAATCCGAACTTCAGTTCGATGTTTGGGATCTATCCAACCAATTCAAACAGAATCAAATATTTTCAATCATTGTCCAAGCATTTTTTAAAGTACACTTACGTTTTTGGATCATCTATTTCATTATGTATAGATTTAACTTAGATAACTATGAAATGCTTTCGTTCGGATTACTTCGACTGTTTTTGTTAATTAACAAAAAAATGGTGGCAGTCAAAACCAAACATGGAAAATTTGGATTATTGGTATATGTCTATTTGTTAATCTTACGTTCAGGTAATTCTTCAACAGAATTATAAATCGATTCAGCAATTCCAGCTTGATCAATGCCAATAATAGATGGTCGAAAAATTATTTCCGGAATAGTAAAACGTTCAACATTCATTCGTACAATCTAAGAACAATACATTTCTATTTAATCTTTGAATAAAGTATGTCAAATACCTGTTGTTGTTGTTTTGTTGTATTCTTTTTTGAACTATCAGCAATATTACCATTAGGTATTGATGATAATGGAGGTTGAACATAACCTTGTTTAATTTCATTATAATCTGGTAAGACATAATCCATAGAATTCGTATTTTCAGATAATGGTAAACTGAAATCGATTTTAATAAATGAGAAACATGTAAAATTCTGTTATAAAAAATATTCGTTCGTTTCGTAATCATTAAAAAAAAGTAATTCAAGTTTACTATATGCTTTCTAAATATACATGACGAGTTTTCTTTTTTTCTTAATTACCTTAAAATGTGAGAAGTAATTAATTATTCAGTTTGATAGAGCCAGTTTTTCTCTGCAAATATCTGATAATTCCTTTTTTCAGTGTTGTTACAAAAGTATAAAATTTGTTACATTTAAAAAAATTCCATCTTGAAGAATAAAAAGCTTTTATAAAAATTAGTTCTTAGAACAAGGTCACTCAATCCAAACGTTCGAATTCGATCTGGCCTATGATCATCATTTTCAGTTAATTAGTAACAGGAAGTAGAAAAAAATCTAAAAGGAAAGATTTCAGACTTGACTATGATAGATCTACGCTCAGTAAAATAAAGAATACAAAAACTGACGGTATTCAGGTATCCTAAGGAAGTCAATAATGTTCATTATCCAAATACATGGCATTGTCTGAGTTGAGTGGATAGTTTCTGAATACCGAGTTAGAGTTAGAGTTTGGTACATGTTTGATTGTAAGCTTTAGCTTATCATAATTGACCATATTGTATTAAACTAAATGTTTTATATCAATGTCTTGTTTCATAATGGAAATAGTAGTAGTCGCAAAAATCTAACGCCGAGAAGCTAGAAGGTCAACGTAGATTTTTTTTTTATCAGGCAAGCATACTTCAACATAGAGAACATGTTTCATGGCGTTAGATCGCTCATTCAATAGCTCAGTGTTGCCTCTGTCACCAATAAAAGTGTCATGTCGGACAATTTTAGTTTACTTGATTTATAACGTGATCTTGAAGTAATCTCTACAAGACAGTTGATGGGAATTGTCGAAAAGTAGCCTATATCTTCAGGTAATTTGAATTAATAGCCTTGTACATAAACATCATTTCTGATCACTGAAATAAAGCGTTCTTATAATTAATCAGTCTTAAGTCAGAGATGATTATTAGCATACGTATTTAGAAAAACTACATAAGCCGCTGTTAGTTCTCAATAATAATTATAAAATAATCACAATACCAATAAACAATTTATATAACGAAGCTTTCAATAGAGATCATACCGTGCTTTTTTCATATCTTCTTGAAAATCCAGTGAAACGAAGCATACATTTTCCTTTAAATCATTAATAATATACGTTTCATTCATAACTAAAAGTTGTCTAAAATTCAATAAAATATTTCAATAATCTTTCTACTCTATAATTTCTATACCGATAAGAAATAACACTTTTTAATTGATTAGTTAATAATTTCCCACCAACATCAAGTCTTTAAACAAAACAAAAAACAGAAAAATATACGAATACTTTATATAACAAAAAACTAATCATTTAATTTTCTCCTTTTACCTTGTCATACCATCAAGTAATTTTCTTCCTTGATAAAATGGAACAATATGTGTAAATGAAAAACCAGAATCAATAACAAGAACATAATTCGATTTCGTATCTCGTTCATATTGATATGCACTTAATGTAGCAGCTAGAAAACGAAAAAAAAAAAAACAAAGGAAAGATAATTTCAATAATTTTTCTTGTGCTTTATTTTGGTATAAATTGATCTTACGATCATATCGTGCAAATGATGCAACTTCATATTCTTCAAAAAAGATTTGATCCATTGTTTCACGAATGAAATTTAAATTCATATATGGTTCTGTCATTAATAAACCAGTTGATTTAAATGGTATCTAAAGAATATTATGTAAAAAAAAGAACGGAAACAAAAAGATTATTTTTACTTTGCCAAATAAATGATCCCATACTTGTTTTTGAATATTCCAATCGACTAGGTAACCCTAAAAATAAAATAAAATGTAATGATTATTAAATTCATTAGATTTTCTTTTATTCTTTACTTTTTGAAATGGTAATTGATAATAAAGACTTGTTTTATTCGGACATTCGTTATCAATTTGATCAGCAATAAAAGTACGACGAGGATAAAATTTTGATTTCATTACACAATTAGGAATAATTCTATATGAGAAAACTTAATTATTAAAAAACAGAATTAATTATAGAAATAATTTGAACCTTTGCTTTTCTGCTGTATTCATTTTTGATTTTGACATATATGCTCCATTATCAACAACAAATATCGGTTTAGTAGCCATGAATTAAACTAAAGTATATAGATTTATTATCAAAAACTTAAATTTAAATGTGTCCTCGAAATTCTTTGTTTATATATTTGAATAATCATATACAAAATAACAAGAAAAAAAACCACAAACAAACTGTTCAAAAAAAAAAAAATAAGAAGGTGGACTATTATTAATCATGTGGATATAGTTCTTGTAGCCATGGTTGCATTATATATTGGACACCATCAAAGAAACTAAAATAATCACTCAATTGAGCATTGACTATCTAAAATAGAAAAATAAATATTATTATGAAAAATATTTTATTAGAACTATAATAGTTCTTTGGTCACAAATTCAATTTCAAGCTTTCAGCTCTTTTTTTCAGTTTTGTGATGGTTTTTCTTCTGCAGTGAAAGATATTTAGTATGTTTTATGACTATGGTCATATAAATGTCAAGACGCCCTACAACTCACAATATTTTGAAAGGCGGCAGCTATTAACAAATAAATGTGATGAATCATTTTGATACATGTCTTATATTTTTCTTGTTTGAATATTTATACATAGTAGTTATCGTTTGCAAATAACAATTTAATTAATGATTCTTATTTTTATAGTTATGAAAGAAATGAAGATTAATGATAAAGGAACCTATACATCGTGTTAAGAAAGCAAAGAATTATGTAGAAGTCGATAAAAATGAAGATGTTGATATCAACAGCACAGAAGATGATAACATTGAATAACTTTCATTAAACATTAATATCGAGACCAGCACATCTGAATTTGAGGATTAAAATGCTTGATAGATATGAAAGATGTTACTTTTCTCTATAAAATCTCTTATCATCTACAGTAAAACCTCTTGAATATGAGCACCATTGGGACTAACTAAAAATGTTTTGTTATTGGGAGGTTTTTCAGTTTTTTTTTTTTTTGTAACTTTTAATATTCAGTTGGAAACATCTATCGATTGCATAAGATGTTCTTTTTCTTGTGTCAAAAAACTAATTAATTCAACTTTTTTAATCAGAAATAGATCAATACCTGTTGACACGATTTAATGCTATTAATTAGCAAACACAAAAACGAAGAGCTCTTACAACAAGCACTATTACTGCTGTTTTTTCTTGTAAATATCTACGGCTAATCGATTTCCCTTTTTCTATATGTCTTATGACTATTTATCATAATTCAATATTTTCTTTTAATCTTTTTTCAAAGCCAGTTCTATGATCTGTTAGTAATATTATATCATAATATGGTTTATGTGCCACCTAGCAAACATCAACATATAGTGTTATTTGTATTAGGAGAAGTGATTAAACAAACCATTTCTCAACTCGACTTTGAAACCAAAGAATTATAATATCTTTCAAAATGTTAATTTTAATTCTTGAAATCTATTAACTCTGAATGAAATTTTTTTGTATATTAATCTTTTATCAACAAACCTTTGTATTTTTAATAACTTCAATATGTTCTTGTGGTATATAAGTTTTATGAGCACGTCGATCTCTTGTATCAAGTAATACAGAATAATTTGGTTGAGTTCTATATTCCTAAATTAAAGTGAAAAAAAAAAAAGTAAAAGATAATTTTCTTATAAAGGATTAATTTTTTCTAAATTAACTGGATGTCCTTGATGATGTTCATCAAGCCATTGATCTGGTGCAGAAGCTATTTCATCCCAGCCAATAATTACTGCACGATAACCATAGATTTTATGTCGAACAACTTGACCAACTCGAAATTTAACATACTCAGATCGAGATGAACGAATTGCTGGTGAAGCTAAAAACAAGAAAAAAATCTCAAAATTTAACGGTCGAAGTAAAAGTAAGGAACCATTTTTGTAATCAATAAAATTTTCATGAAAAGTTTATTCAATGCAAAACTTACTTCTCTACAAAATCTATTATTTGAAATTTGCAAAGCTCGACTATCATCGGCACAGTATGCAAAATGTGCACAGATATGGATTTCAAAAAAGTCCTCTCAATATCAATTGTTGAGAAAACTCTTCAGTTTTTTCTACCGTAGACCAATAAAAGTTCAATAAATTCCAAATTATAGTTCTGCCAGCTTATTTAGAATTGAAGTCTACATTTTTTTTGTTTCAACATAAAAACTTTACGTTTGTACTGAAAAGATTGTGCTTCTTTGTTACAACCATTTCGACCACAGAGTACGAGTATCTGTAGCTATTAAGAATGACTAGTGAACTTATAAATAACCGAATCGATAGAGCATGAAATTTACTTTATAGTCTTATGCAACTATTGAATATATTACACTCGAAGTGACAACTTAAAAACATTTATAAACAAGATGAAAAGAGCATGACACAATTTTGAATACTCTTCCGATAATAATTGAGCTGGGCAAATCTCAAATAATAGGTTTCGCAAAAAGTTTAGTTCTTTATCAAATGACTCCTTTTCCTGAAATTTCTATCGATTACATAAAGAAATAATTCATTATTGCTTTGCCATCCGTTATAGAAACATAATAAAAAAAAAACAATAGATAAATTACTAGCAAAATATCCATATTTTTCTCTCATATAATACACTTCTGTAGCGGGAGACTCAATTCCACGTCTCCATGTACGTTTATGTAAAAGTGGATTAAAACCAAGTGGAACTTCAATAACAAAACTAATAAACCAATTAAACCATGTTGATGGAGATAAATAATGAAATACTTGATTAATTTGGTTTGTAATTCTAATAAAACAAAAATCAAACATTTCTAAATGTCTATTCATCAAAATAACGAGAAAAAAATAATTCTACTTAGTAATTGCTTGTATCTGTTCAATATCCTTCGAAGACCATTTCATTAAAATAAAATATTGTAATGGTAGAGCAAGTAAAAGTAAACCAAACTGAAAAAGAGCAAGACGATCCATTTACATCTATAATAAAAATCTAATATTTCTTATTAATTAAAACTAATCTAAAATAATCAAAATTATTAAAAATCATTTAAATGTTTTTCTAAACATTTTGGATGAACAAAATTCATAGAAATAATATCATCTGTCAATTGATCTAATAGAAATTCACCACATAAATTACATCGTATAAATGAAGATTGTTTTTGATTTTTAATTATAAATTCTTTTTGATATATCCAACATATATTACAATAATAATCAATATGATTATCTGTTTGATATAAATCAAAACGTGTAAAAATTTTATGACAACGTGAACATTGTATAGGATTTATTTCCTGAATACCATTCCAACCTTTTTGACAACATGTTAATGATGAATTTAAATTGGTTTTTTTCTAAAATAGAAAACATACGAAAAAATAATCAAACGATCATAGTTTATTTGATAAGATGGCGACAGTGTGAAATTATTCTTTTTGTCATGGTTAGATAGAGCTCGTCGAATTATCGATAAAAATTTTATATTCGAATAATATTTTCCGAGCAAAAACTTACGAAAATTAGGTTCAGAAAAGTCTATACAATTGAAATAAATTAAAAACATTTAGTTACGCTAACCTCAATATTGGTTTGTAATTTTATTTTTATTTTATTCATTATTTGTTGAGGAAAAAAATTATGCATGAATTTTGAAAATTGCCATAAATATGAAATCACATTCAGAATTAGCAGAAAAATCTTCATTGAATAGTATACTCAATACTTAAACCAAGTTTTCGTCAAATTTCGATTCTTGACATCTCTCACTATTATTGTAGAGTAATCTGAACTGTGACTCTCCAGTGGTTGAAATTCGATGAAAATTAGTTTCCAGTATTGATCATACTAATCGATGCAGATTTTTCTGTTGATTCTGAATAGGAACCTGTATTGCACTATCCAATCATGACAAAAAAATGCTCGAATTTTGCATTGTTAACATTTCATACCTAGAGTGGTACAAAAAAAGTTTACCAACAACATATTTTTGATATTTTTCTATTATGTTAAGGAATTAGCTCAAATTCATATAGTGATTTTGATAGAAAATGGAATGTTCAGATTTCTAAAGCTATTTTTTAACAATACCATTTTAAAGGAAAGAAAATGAGGGATCGTTGGATTTTCTATGACATTCCATTAAAAACTTTAAAGCATCACAAACAGCCGAAAAAAAGCGTTCTTTATTCAATTTTTTGATAAATCTTTGTTTTCTGTCATACTTTAAACTATTCAAGGTAAAGTCATAGAAAATGCAGCGACCTGTGTTGTTTTCTTTAAAATGACATTGCTAAAAAATAGCTTCTGAAACCTGAGAACTGTTGTGTCTCATCATAGTTTATCTAATATAAAATGCATTAGATAGAAAACTTCATTGTCTAGTAAAATTACTATCTAGATTTGAGCTAGATATTTAACACGATAGAAAAAGATCAGAAATAGATTATTGTTAAACTTTTTTTTTCCTATAATCTTACATAATCATTCAGTTGTCTGATGTCAATAACATCTTGATCAGAACATGATCCATGATAATTTTCATCATCAATTGATAAATCATTTTGTTGATATTCAAATTTATAACGTTGCTTAAATCGTTCAAATAATAATTGACCATAATTATGTATATTAATTTTATCAAATCTGAAAGAAATTAAAAAAAAGTTTTAAAAAATAAATTATTTTTAAAAACACAAACGATTTATAAAACATTGTTTTATTCTTTTTTTCTATAATAGGATTTTCTTCTTGTAATTTTTCATTTATTAAAACATCTGATTGAATACAATTATTTTTACATTGATCACATAAAACTTGATCATAACGAACATTTCCACAATAATAAATCAAATTAAAAAGATTTTTATTATCTTTTAATAATTTTTTCTGACATTTTATACATTGTAAACATATTGGATGATAATAAGTGTATTTCTTTGTATCGATATCACAATTACGCAGAATTAATTCACCAAATAAAAATTCTTTTTGACAAATAAAACATTGATTCGTTGAAAGAAGATGATCAGACAAATAAATATTCGATATCATAAATAAGAAACTTCTTTCTTTTCCCGCTTAGTTACTATTTTTCTATTAAATGAAAGAGAATTTCATTTCTAATCGAAATTATTTTTTAAAATGATTTGAAGTAGTTTTAATCGAATGCATTGTTCGATAGAAACTTACTTTTTAATGAATGAACAAATTGTTGATTGTATTATATTAAAATCATTTTTTGATTATTCTAGATAAATAAGGTTGTGTTCTATTTGAATTCGAAAATATTTAACATTATTTTTCATTATTCTACATAAACAATGAAAATTGAAAGTAATTATTGAATTATATCAATATTTGAGATGGGCTCTTTTTCTTTCTTTTAACATTGATAAGAACAAGACAAGCATCCGATTTTGATGATGGTATTGAAATCTAAAACGATAAGTCATTTAATAATATATTCAGATTTCACAATTTTAATTTAGTCTTTGGAATGATTTATTGTTATTCACAATTCAGTCTCACTTTTTGATGATTAGTTTAATCTTTTACATTGCATGGCAGTCTCAGAGGAGCCAGTGATAAAATAATCTTCTAAATAGGGGCATTAGTCGCTTTGATTTACCAATGGCATGATCAGAGTCATCAAATATCCTACTAATAATACAGAGTGATTTTCGTTACTACATTAACCATGTAGCAAAAAAGCGAGATTTAACGATATGAGAATTTCTGATCTTCTTTTCTCTCATGACAATTTTGAATGCGCGAAAGCAGCTTCTATCCCATATTATTGAAGTAATAAAAAAAAAGGAAGGAGTGAATATATAAAAACTAATTTTGAAAGAATAAATATGTTTTTGAAACATATTGTCAAATAATTCCCTATTTTTCTTTGAGATATTGTAAAACCACTGAAGATATTTACACTATATACATATACTTTACTCTTGATTATCCTTTGTCTGCCCATTAGTAACAACATGTTCGATTTCGTGATTTATTGTCTGTAGTTCACCAAGCTATCTGTAAAACTTTGGAAACTAATACTAATCACTAATAGGTATCTTCATCAATCTATATCAGACAAGTTCCAAAATTTTCTTCTCCTCTTCTTTTAAGGAAGAGAATGTTTTGTTTAAAACTTTATCAAACAATAGCTGATGAAGTACATTACAAAGCTTTGAAAATCTATACATCGTTTAGTTTTTGTAATCGATCTACAAATAGTATATTTTAGTGATCAGTAGAGGTAAAAACAGGTAAAAAATATCTCAAAAAAGGAACTTTCTATTTATATTACCATTCAAATTCTGATTAATCTGGATAATTTTCAAGCTTATATCATGCCATGCTTGTCATACAACTTGATGACATGTGTTTCTTTTGTTTCATCATCATTGTTGAACTATAATAGAAACATACATACAATAAAATTTGATGAAAAAAATTTTCATCGTCAATTTAGAAGTAGATTTAATTCAAAAATTTACGAGAATTTTTAAATACATACATGTATTAAATAAGATTTCCATGTGCTTTGTTAATGTTGAATTTGTATTCACAGTTTTATATTTTGGTCAAATAATAGTAACAATATTACATACTATTTGTAATTTTCTTTTATTGAAACATGTTTAAAAAAACTTTTTCTCTTTGTTATCAGTAGCCTATAATTGACATAGTCACGGGATGCCTAATTAATGTTTTCAAAAAAAATTTTTTATCAAGAAGAATAAAGATATATGTATATTATTACATTAGACATAGTGTCAATAAAATGATTATCAATTTTACCATAAAAATTAAATTTACATTTTTCAAATAAGGTTTTAGCAAACAAAAGACTGTAGATAAGGAAAGTATGGTAATAGATTTTCAATTATTTGCTATGGATTGCCTATTTGAGGTTTATTAAAAAAAACAAAGAATAATTAAAATACTAAATGATACTAACAATTGATAATTAATATTTTAAAATTTAATTAAATGTTATTTAGTTTGTCATTTTCGAAGATAACTTTATATAACCGTCTGTTCATGGAATCGTTTCAATGACATTTGTATTTGATAGTAAGCAACAAACAAGCTGATTTATCGTGTCATCGTACCAATGACTAATATACTCGTGTTGCTCATTCGGCGACATCTATCAATTGACATGTGAAAGTAATTTATAAGAATATTGTTAGAGGAAACTAAATATTATTATGAATATGAACTCTCTTATAGAATCTTTTTTCTGTCGGAGTAAAAGATTCATTACTTGAGTATGGATCAATATATTCTGTTATTTTCTTCCATGAAAATGTTCTGCATTAATAATAGACGAATTAAAATAACTTAATACGATGCTTTTTTTTTTTCATTTTAATATTATTGTTTAGTTATGGCTTCATGAATGAGCTGTTTCAGTGTTTCCATAAAACCAATCAGCAACGTTCAAAAAGTAAGAGATAAGAATTCCTTAGCTGTTGAAGAGCTTTGAACAGAGCTATGATGATTCCTTCGGAAAACAAGAATTGACCATTAATTCCTTCATCATACATTCATGTTCACAAAATCCTGGGCGAATATGAATGTAAGAGCAAAAAACATCGTGGATACTATGTTTTCTTTTTATTTTGGCAATCATAGAACTATAGGAGCATTGAGAAGGAATTTCTATTTCTCAGACCGTGAACATCTTTTTGGTACTGATTGTAAAATTGATGTTGCTTCATTATCTATTAGTTATTTAATATAGATTTCAATTTTTTATCTAACATGATTTCATAGATAGAAGTAAATATCATTAAATAAACAATATGACATATGCCTATATGTGGTGCACTCAGTAGGCGCATTTCATAAGTTTCCACATGTTCCGTCATAAAAAAAAATATTGTAAGGCGATAATGTTAGTAATTCAAGCGGGAGTTGTTTATTACAAAAAAAATCTCCTATTATCGATTGAGTAAATGATTCGTTTACTCCAAATCATCCGTTGGCAATATTACAATATGATAGAACATATTCACGATCAGCATTAGTTGTTATTGGTGTAGTTCTATCAACTTAATTAGAAAATGAGTTTCTTTAATCTTTTCTGTCAACTATACTTTGCCATTAATATTTGGAAAGATAACTTTCGTTTTAATATATTCAAATAATTCGAAATTATTTAATCGTTTGGCAAAATTGCAAAATACGTCTCTTAGTAACTTTACCACTTACTAGGTTTTTATTAGTACAACGACGTGCATATAATATCTAATCAATAAAACAGAACAACTGTTTTTAGTTTTTTGGAATTTTTTAAAAACTCTATTGAATATCAACGTTATTCATATCTAAATCATATACCTTATTCTGTGTGCCGAAGAGAATCCAATTTTGTTTTATCAACAATGACCTGAGATAAGACTGAATCAATTGTCACTTCGATGTAAAGATAAATGTAAAAAGAGACATGGATTTTGTTTTGTTTTGCTTGATTACTTTGTATAAACGATATAATATTTGAAAAAAAAAGTATAGTCTTTGTCGTCTTTTCCGTGTGAATTCGATGATTTGTTACCTCGGTTTATATAATGTGTTTTCAGATGAGACCTGTCGTATGCGACGGTACATTGATAAGAATGATGAAAAAAATGAAGAAATATTTTAAACGAAAAAGAAAATATTATCGTAGAAGTTGTGTGCTATGAAACAAAATATCACACTGTTCATCTCAAACGATATCTAATTGAAAATTAAACATATTTAAAACTTAAAATTGCAATAAAACAATTTTTTCTTGTGATGATTTTCATAAAAAGAACTATATATACATGACAGTTCTATGGCATCATTCTATGAATATGTTTTATTCAAAAATAGTATGAATACAATAAAATTAAACAATAAAAAACAATTTTTCTGTAACTTTTATTGTTGAGAGTCTTTAATGATAACCATGATGATGATGATGATGATATGGTGGTGGTGGTGGACAATATCCAGGTACCGATGATGGACAATATTGAGGTACAGGTGGTGGTATATGAATATGTGGAACTTGAGGCGGTGGATAATAAGCTGCAGGTTGTGGATACGGGAGTGGATGGTGATGATGATGAGGAGGATGAGGATGATGATGATGATAATGTGATGGTTCTTGACCCATGCTTGTTTATATGATTAACGAGTTACACAGAAGAAACGACAAATTCGTTAATAGAAATTGAAACAAGTGAAGAAATTCAAGAAGACATGCATGTTATATACCATAAGATGTCATTGCGTAAATGTTTTGTCTACTTGACTCATTTTCTTCTATGATAAGAAATATGCTAAACAAAAAATTAAAAATTGTGCATGACGTGTTGTTTACATCGCAGTGAAAGATAACAACCATTTTTTTAAATTTCTTATGATAAAGAAAAAAAAAACAAGTTTAGAGAATAGATTACAATAATATTTTTTTTTGTTAATGAATAAATCATAAGGTATTATTCATCATCTGACGCACCTAAAAAATGGGCTCATATCGTCGGCCTAACAGCTGAATAAAGACTAGAAAATTCTAAGGAATCTAACTTTTAACACTATGGATCGTTTTTATTGATAATATACAATATTTGAACATACGGAACAGATTTTCTTTATGAATTATGATAACATAAAAATCATTTGTATTGTAAATAATAAAAATAAATTTCTTTTTTAGACTTAAAATAGTAAATTAGTTGTTTCAAAAAGGCTTTGTTTTTTCTACATTCTCTAATAAATCTATTGAAAATTAGTATAAATAAGTCTTAACAATACATTTTTCATTAAACTTTTACATTGGTTTATCGAAAATCCTTAGATCGAGCTTGTCTGCGAAAACGTCATTAAATAAAAAAAGACATGTATAATATATGTACTATAAAGATGAATGCTCCTATATTAAGCATAGTGATAATATAAATTAGTTTTTCCTTTTCGTATGCATGTATTTATTTATTTATTTATTTATTTATAAAGCATGAAAAAGCTCAAGATTAGTAAGTTAGATACAAGGCATCAGTGTGATTAAAAAAAAAACTTCAAAGAATCATCAATGATGTCCATGATGATGATGGTGATGAAAATCGTGATGATGATGATGTGAAGGTAATGGCCAAACAGGAGGAGGTGCAATGTGATAGTGCTCTCCATGTTGATGATAACCTGGACCTGAAGGAAAGACTGGTGGAGGTGGTGGTGGACAGAAACCACCAGACCCAGGAAAATATGGTGTTGGATAGTATCCACTAGGTGCTGGATAGGGAGGCGGGGGATAAAAGCCACCAGTTGTTGGAATAGGAGGTGGTATATATTGATTCTGATATGGATTGTAGCTCATACTTTTTTTGTTAATATGCAAGTAAAATAGTTGAAGATAAATAAATGATTCGACGTGTTAATAGAAGACAACCGAAATGTGGACAATGTAATATTTAATATATAAGTCCGTCGTAGAAAAAGGGTTGAATAGATAAACTCACCTTGGTTACTCTATACGTTATCTAATTGAAAACAGTAAAATAGACGTTTATTTAATGATTCTATGTAATTCACGTAATCATAAAAAGAGAACGAAAATATCGTCTTCGACATCGTTTGAAATTGATATATGAACTCTCGTTAGATCTATTTATCATGAGTTATCAGGTATGAAACAATTATTGTACATTGAATAAGTTGAAAATAGATCTGACTCGACAATACATTAGAAGCTCTGATATTTATTATTACTTGCTTTTAGTAGTTGGACAGAAAAATATTTCAACAAAATGCTAAATCTACTTTTCTGATCTTTCTTTTTACTTCATAAAATAGATCAAATTTTTCTTATAGCAAATTCAGAAATGTTTTATAACAGTATAATAAGAATATAACGAAACCCCTAATATATTTGTTTCGTTTCCAAATTCGTCTTCATCATCACTTATCTATAGACTTACTCGAATTTTATTATTTGCTTCATTTCCATAATTAATTCGTGATTTTGAATGGTTTTAACATTTTCAAGCTCATGAAATAAATGAATTATAAAATAATTCAAAATTTCTATCTAGTATAGAAGAGATTTATTCAAAGAGGCTATCAGGATCTATGACTTTTAAGAAGGGTGTGAGTGTATCCACAACCACATCCTTTTTATACTTTTTGTTCTAGTGATAGCTAGATCAATCAACAAAATAGAAATTATATGATAATGATTAAGGTTTATTAGAAGATCGAAAAATTATAACAATTGAGATATTAACAGAATTTCAATGCTTGGGCTACTATATTCGATTATTAGCAACAGCGAATATAGTCATTTCAATTGCGTTTGATACACCTTGTTGATAATCTATGACTTCTATCTGGAACTTTCATAGTTAGTAATTTGTATGAATCACATTGGTATTATCTTTGTGACTAATCTTATTTTTACATGTATCAATGTACGAATAGATAAGAAATTATGTCTCATGGAAGTAAAACATGATTATTTCGATCAGAATTACCATTCATTTTCTACCTTGATTATGATTTCTATTTCATGTTATTCAAAGATATTGAAATAAGTTCACTATTACTCATACGATAGATTGTAGCATTTTGATGAAAACAATGTTCTTCGACACCGTGCTGTAATATTTAGTAGTCAACAGCATACAAGATTGAAACAAAATTTTAGTGAAATTATGTCATTCATGACCGTGATTGACCAAACAGTATTATCTATCATGATGAAAAAAATATATTGAAACTATCTAATATATAGATTATATAGTAAATCAAAATTCAATTTAATTGTGAAAAAATTAATCTTAATGCGAAATAAGATTTCTATGGTAGCATTTGTAAAGATCATATAATGAAACATCTTTGTAATGCTTGAAATGTTTTTTTTTCTCCAACGGTTAATGAAATAAATCTCCGACCACATAATTTCCAATAATATTAAACAAAGCTCTAATAACATTGCGAAATCTAGACGAATTCTCAGTTAGAAAAAAAATCAATGTTTGATGTTAGAATATGTGTACAAATGCACAAGTATCTGTAAATATACTACAATTATTTCATTCTGTATATTCAATGAATAATAAATATAAATCATCGCATATGACACTAAATTATATTCCACATCACCAACTTTCATCATCAGCTGTTCAAAAAATTTAAACTCATTTGTTTTCGGATAAAATAACAGTGCATATATGATAATATTACCAATAAAAGTAATATTACCAGTAAAAGCAAAACTTAAACATTCACCACGAATGTAGCCTTTGTAATAAATAATAATAAGAAGATCAAATGTTGGCACAAGTAAGACAGCCATAATAAATATCGCTAGTTCATTTGAACTTGTATTATCACCGTATTGATTACAGCTTGTAGCAATAACAATAGGTAATGATAAAAAAATATAAAACACAAGAATCAATAAAGGCTAATATAAATTCGATAATATATAGGCCATCAACAGAAAAGTAATACTAATTGTACATATGATTGGTAAGATTATAATCTTGGCTAAAATGCTCAATCGAATAATGCATTGTTTTGTTTGCAGTAACGACATGAGAAAGAAAAATTAAAAGAATAAAAAAACAGGTACCTTTAGATAACGGTGCCAGAATAAAATGATCACGGTAAGATTCATCAGACAGAATATCTTAATTATTATGATATGAGAAGTAAACTTAACCTATGATGTAAAAGTAATTGTTGAGATCTCCATTCATGACTCTTCGCTCAGAAATCTAGTAGAGAGTTATTTTTTTTCTGGTTGATAGAGCAAAGGTTGAATTTTAAAAAATACATTGCAATAAAGCTTCTTTTTCTGGATTAATTTTAAATGAAAAGTAAGTTCGATAGTGAACGTCCCTAAAAAAATCTTGTAACTTCTGTTGTCTCAAACATGTCTATCCAGGTCGAGCATTACGACGACCGAAAATGACCTGAAAAAACGTTACAATATCTATTTCTATTAAAATACCAACAATTGAATTTGAAATCATCTAATTTTAAAGTTTGTCAGAAAAAAGACCTTATAAGGCTTCTCTCGGAAAAATCTATTTCTTTTCAATGGAGTAATATGTCATAAAAAACTAGTTTACGAAAATGCTTTGCAATGCCTTTTCCTGTTATATCCAATTATTTGGATTACAAATCACCTAGTTTTAGGACTTCTAAAAAAAAAGGCCATAAAAAGTCTTTAAAGACTTTTTTCGAACAGCTATACTGTTCCAACGAATATCCACGTAAAACTTAGATGATTATTGTAAGAAGCCTTCACGATACCTCATTCTTTTGAAATTTAATCGATCTCCTAAGGAATCCTCTTTTTTCGACATATCGGAAAAAGAGATTCCATGGACGTATTGAAAATTCTGAGAAGAAATTTAGTTCGATTCGTTCCGTAAAACGCATGCTTTACATTTGGTTCGAAGCAGTAGAGGAATAACACGTACGAAGTACGTTACTGTTTAGAATCCGAATAGCATATGTATGTTGGTTAACTTCTAAGATTTCAGCAACCTAATCAGGAGTTACTGGCTATAGTTCAAAACAAACATTTGAAAATGCCTTTAAATGATACATTTGAAGAATGATTTATCTGTAAGAGTGCATTATAGGAAGTGCAAGTCATTTTATCCTGCTAAAAGAATCTCTCACTGTTGATAGCTGGCGAAACCATATATGTTGTTGTCCACCGATACTTGAGGATTTTATTTCATCTTACTCGTATCTCACTCAGCATGCAGATGAACTGAACTGTAGGGTGACGGTCACATATATAGGCTGAAGTCAATCCGAGCTTGATAGTGCGTCCACCATGGTCGACGTTGCCTTATCCCATTGAAAGGACTCCACTACGAAAAGTAGGTGCAATGCTAGAATTTTCTTAACTGTTATACACATACTGAATATCGCTTGGCCAAGCACCACCTGGAATGCTAGAAATATCACTTGGGTTGCTCCAAGAATTATCTACGACGGCATAGGTTTTAACTAGAATGCTAGAAGGATTATCTGGAATGTTAGAGGTATTACTTGCAATACTAGAGCCATCAGCTGGGATTTTACCGGAACTATGCTAAATTATAGTGTCACAATGTGCATTGTATGTATTTTGTCGTATCTGAAATAATGCTAGTTTATTTTAAACACATCGACATTAAATAAAGGTAAATGTAATAATATGAAGGCACAAGTTTTGATGAACAATGATTATGTAAAAGCAGCAGCATTGTCATTGTTAGATACTAATTCTAAATCTCGAGAGGTACCCCTTAACGTTAACGACAACTCACAGCGCGATACAATAGGGAACGATGAATATTTATTAAACGTTTTACGTTTGATGTATACTATGCCTTACGGTATCATTCGAGCATAGTTTTCACTCGCCGTATCGTTAGGGTAGCCGTCAATGGCAAGGGTTTGTATTAATAGCTTTGGATAGTCGTAATACCCTGTAAGCCATCGTTTACGATCACTGAAAATGACTGCTGCAGCCAGTTGTCGTTATCTGCCGTAATTGGTTGGTATATGGTCACGTACAACCGTGTACGATTGACCTGGATGAATAACGGCTTTGTCTTTCCAATGTAAAATAGTACTTTCTATGAAAACTAAAATGTATAATATACTTTATTTACTATTAAAGAATTACTGAGAAACCTTCTAAAATATGAAAACCGATAAAGCCTTGTAAGAATTACTTATTCATCTATTTGGGTTTTCCAGAAAAAGATTTTCTTTAGACCTTAAAGGAAAAACAGTATGTTGCAAGAGCCTTTTTGGGGATGCTTAATATTGAATGTTTTTCTTATTCGTAGTTACTCTAAGTTTTTTTTTCTATGTTTTTAAAACTTCAGATTTTGTTCTTTCAATTGACATAGGATAATTTTTTTACGATGCTTCTGAGCAAATAATCATGGGCTGAGATTTCGAGAATAACTTTTGTACTGTAGGTTATTAAAATCTATCTGATTTCATATGACATTAAAAAGATTCCAATTATAATTTATATCCATATATTCAACTATTAGTGAATATTTTCATAATCTTCAATTATAAACAAAGTGTGCACTACTAATAAGTGTACAAGTCTCTAATTTGAAAATTGTCAACATACATCAATTGATCGATAATGATAATTATAATTCAACTTAGGCATAGGCGGAGCCACAATGCTTAGGTAGATCCAAGTCTACCCTAAATTCACATTTTGCAGGCTATTACATGCTCAAATACTTCTCCTTCCATTAGATTGATAGATTTGAGCAGCGCATCACGATTCTTGTACAAATGGCAAGCGTTTTCGCGACCCTAGGCGGCTAATAATAACATTTA